CCCCCCCCCCCGGCCTCAGCCTTCAGAGCCTAGTGAGACCCTCGGGTGACAGACAACGTCCCTTGGCTGCCATGCCCCTTCCCACTCTGGCGTGGGCTGTGGTTCTGTGCCGCGTGCATGGTATGGCCCTAGCCAGGCAAGCGCTGCCCTTCTCCAGGGCATAGGGGTTGGGGGCGGCGCGGTCACCTCAGGGACGAGGGCTTGGCAGGCGCTCTGGAGAACCTGGCCCTGCCTGGCTTGGCCAGGGTCTTGCCAGAGATTGGCGCTGAAACAGGAAATAGATCCCCGATGTTGCAGCTCCACACCCGGCTCTGCCCCACAGGCCAGGCCTGCCCTGGCCATGAGTCAGCACCTGCTCGGGGCATTGGTGGGTGGGAGGGAATTGCCTTAAGTGGCACCTGTAGGGTTGCCAGATGGTTGAAACAAAAATATTGAACACCCCGCTCCAAAAAAAAACACCAGGAAAAAAAATCTGTTTAAGAAAAAAAAGAGGGGGGGAACCAAAGTTGTTGAGCAAAAAAAAATAAAAAAAAATTAAATTAAAACAACATGTCCCCTTTAAGAGTGAGTGCAGGGAGCGGTTGAGCACTAAGACCCAAGGGAAGCATTGCTTCCCCTTGGTTGGCAGCCATTTTGTGCTGGCAGCCTTGAGGAATCATGGGGGCTTGGGTCGGGGAGCCAGCCCTGGGGCACCAGCCAGGCCTTGTGGTTTCAGAGAATGCGCCATCCATGCCTCTGTCTGTAGGGGTCCATAGCTCCAGCTGGGTGCCTTCTGCCTGCTCCCCCGGACTGTCGGACAGGAGGCCCAGTCCTTCCCCAAACCCTCCCCCATCCATCTTGGGGGGTGACTACCAGGGCTGAGTGCACCAAGGGAGGGGCAGGGTCTGGAGGGCCCCCTGTAGCTGCGGGCTAGTCCGTGAGCTGCGCCGTGTGGGTGCTGTCTCGGATGGCTTTGAGAAAGCGCATGAAGTCTGTCCCGCCGGTTCCCATGTCTGAGCGCACTGACGCGCCCTCCTGAACACAGCCCCCGAGCTGCTGCTCCGCTCGGCACCTCCCTGCGGGGATGGTGATGTACTTGGTGACCACCTGGATGTGGTAGCTCCGGAGCGCCGCCAGCGCCGCCACACACTGGTTGAAGGCAGCCCGCAGCCCTGCGTTGCCCGTCACCAGTGCAAACTGCCGGAGGGAAGGGCCAGATGCCAGGGTCTGGATAAAGGCCCTGTGAGCCGCCGGCATGTAGTCCCGCATGCGCCTGAGATACTCTGCCGAGAACCCTGCAACAGCAAGGCGAGTGCGTTCACTTGGGAAGCGCCGTAGGAGGGAGCTCGGCGCGGACCTCCCACTCGGGAAAAGGTGCTGGGTCCAAACAGGCCGTGGTTAGCCAGCTTAGCCCAACTCAGCCTTCGCCTGCAGCCAGCTGAATGGCAACGGCCACCCCTCTGAGGAGTGAATTACCAAAACCAATGTCAATCAGTGGCCACCCGGTGACTCTCTTTCTCCCCTAACGCCAGTGCCCTGCTGCAAACTTTCACCCCGCCCCCTGCCTCGGGAAGGGGCCACGCTGTGGCCGACGTATCAATTCCCTCTGAAAATGAGGGGGAGTTCTGCCCTTCTGGGTTATCTGGGGGGAGGCTGGCACGCTGTGTGAACACGCCCGTGGTTTCTAATGCCGTCACTAACGATGCCGGTGGCACTGCTGGTTTTCTGGCCCTGGGCCGTGTGAGACCTGTATCTGTTGTGGGAGGGAAATCCCGGTCTGTGGAGACCCCCCGAGCAGCGATGGCCGGCAGAAGAGTTCTGGACTAACCTGAAGCACTACAACCTGAATCTCTGGTGAACGGCGTCTATCCTCGTCCAACGGCTGCTTCCAGGCCACTTACCCTGTGCTGTGCTGTGCGGGATTCCCAGCAGGATATCAAAGCACTGTAACGTAGAGCTCTGTGCTGCGCTGCCACCGGAAAACTGCCTGGGGGCCTCCCACACCCCCTCGTACACCAGCCCCTCCGGCATCAGGGAACTGTCCTTCCAGCTAGTTCCAAAAACATGAAGTGAGAAGCAGCTGCAGGGTTTCGCTGTACTGACTGCGGGCTTGTCTACACTGGCACGTTTTGACACCACAATCTGCCTTTTGGTGACAAAGCAGTGAGAGCATTTACACTGCCATGTGACTTTTGTTGGGGAAAAACACCCCATTTTGGTGACAAAAAACGTCCAGCCTGTGAGAGACTTTTGTCTTTATTGTCAACAGAGAGCCAGTGTGGACTCTTCTGTTTGTTTTGGTGAGAGAACTGGCTTCCGCCAGTATCCTACAAGGCCTGCCCTGATGGCTCTGCTCAGTGTTCTGTGCACTCTGCTGCCCTGCAGGCCTGCACCCCTCCCCCGTTCAGAGCTCCGGGAAGTGTCTAACAACTGAGTGAGCTGCTCCGTTTGGGGAACAAACAAAGAGCAAATCACTGGAGTGCTCCTGTTCTGCCCGGCTAGGAACCCAGCACCAGGCAGACTGCTGTAGGAGGGACGGCTGTGCTGCTTCGACATTCCTTAGCACAGAGAGCTCATAGAGCTCTGAGGTAATCCCAAGAATTGCAGGGATTAGCTCAGCCTTCCCACCACAGTGCACTGTGGGATGCTTACCCACAATGCTTTGCTCTATCTGTCCCCAGGGTGCTAGCCATGTAGCCATGAAATGCCGATCATGGGAAGCAGAAAAACCAGCTTGACCGGTTTTCACCTTTGGCGACTTTTGCCTGTTGACAGCCCTTTTGTCGCCAAACCTCCCTAGTGCGGTTTGATAGTTACATGCGGTGCTAACCAATACACACTAGTGACTTGCAGCACGGGTCAGTCCTGGACAGAGACAGTTGTCCTGGAAACTGGCTGTACAGCAAGAGCTGTGCTCTGGTAACGCAGAGTGGCCTTAGCCCCTCCAAGGCCTCCTCTCCCAAGGAACTTATCGTGCTCGCTGTGGGAAGGGGGGGCTCAGAGCTCTAATGCAGCTTCTAGGTAGGGTCAGACTCGCCTGGGAACTTCTTCGTTCTTTACTCAACAGGGACAAGCTCCTCCGTGTGATGGGCAAAGTTTCTAATGGAACATCAAGTAGCAGTGTGAAAAATCAGGGTGCGGAGGAGGAACAGGACCCTATTTACAACAGCACCCTGATATCGGGACATCTGGTCAACCTACATCTGGGCCACTTCCTGCCAGAGAGGGCGAGAGAGAAGCACAAGGAAAGGGGGAAGGGAACAGCGCCGGTGTCAGCAGCCTCTGGAAGGGGGCAGCAGAAGGGTAAATACTCTCGCTTGCTGGGAGGTGAGCGCTCTGTGAGCGTTTACAAAGGGATGGAGCGAGTGACTGTTTGTACCCTCATGCTGCGATAGATACATGGAAAATTCTCCTTCCTTCTAGCAACTTGGAAATTCTGAAAGTCCTGCTTTGGGGCCACCTGCTAACGGGCGGGATGGGGAGACGTTTTCTGGAGCAGGCAGGTTGTGCTGGAAGTGCTGTGTCTCACACCAGCCGGGGATTGGTCGGAGGCAGCCTAGGGACTTCCCTCTCCCTAAAGAGATAGTGCCCCAGGGCAGGTACCTACCCGGCGAGGTAGATGCGAAGGGTTCTGAAAAACAGTCCCGGATCGACATGCTCTGTGGAGAGACGGGACGCTTGTTCGGGTGACATTGGAGCCAGAAGCAACAGATGCAACTGACCCTGAGGGCCCTGGCTTGCCAGCTCTGGCACTTGGCCAGCAATGGGAGCGCTCTTGGTTGGCTTGGAACGGTGCCGTGCGACCCTTCCTCATTGGCGCAAAGTGTTTCATCTGTCTGGGCGGCCATGACAGCACAGCAGCGTGACCGTTACGAACCCAGCACTGCCCCCACTTGAGTGAGCGGAGCTCCGGGGGCGAGGCCAGGCCAGCGAGGGGCTCCCCGAAAGCACACGCGACGGCGGCTCTCTGGGAGCGGGCGCGGCTCTCTGTGGTACCAGGCGGCAAAGCCGTCCTCCAGCCCGGCAGGGCCCGTGCAGTGGTTTGCAGCCAGCCCTCGCCCATGCCACTTGGGCAGGGTGTGTGAGGGAACGGGCAAGCAGAGCTCTGCTATGGGCGGTCAGCAGTAGTTGCCGCGCGCTCCAGGGACAGAGCCAAAGGGTTTGCCTAAGAATTCCCAGCAGGCATCGTGCCAGGGAGTCAGCCCCCCAGAGCTGAGTGGGGTGGATCCAGGTCTCACATTTCAGTGTGTGACAAGGCTGCCACCTCTGGGGCCTGATCCCCCCGGCTACAACGTGTGTGCCAGTCGGCCGGCCGGCCTGCCCCCCCCGTCGGTGAGACACGCTTCCAACAGGGCCCGCCTCGTTCAGCGCCGACGGGGGGAGCTTTAGGGGCAGGAAATGCGAGTCCTTTGGCTCCTGTCTGAGGGTGCCGCGCCTTGGGCACATGGGAAGGATGCAGGCGCTTCCTCGCTCCTTACCTGTCTGGCCATAAGGAGACTCAGGCAGCCGGGATGTTTGTTTCCCTCCCAACTACAAGCAGCTGTGGGTCTCTCTCAAACAGGGACTGATTGCTGCATTCGTTTCAATTGTGTGCTGGGATCATTTGGGTCACAAACCGCAAGCGCGGCTGCCAAAGCACTTACCATGAATTAGTGTGAAAGCTTCCTGCATTCTGCATATAGCCAGGGCCACGTCCTGCAGTGCTGTGTGCACGGAGCAGAGGTCCTGGCGCAGTACGGCCTTGACAATCGTGGGGATTGCCTTGGAGGGAACAGAGGAAAAACAGCCTTGGCCTCAGAATACACGTCAGGCTTTCTGGGGAAAGTGGTGCCGGCACCTAGGTCCCTCCCGGGGTTTTCTAGCAGGACCCCTCTCCAGGGAACAAAGCTGGGCTCTTAGCAGGGGTTCGCGTACAGCCCCGTCCTCTTCAAGTAACATAGCCAAGCCCCTTCTCCCCAGCCTTGCGGCTGGGACCCCGCGAGAGATGCTGAGGCTCCTCCAGTGCCCCGCAGCATCATGAGAGGGTGGAAATCAGTCTGCTGTGAGCTACGCTAACGGTTGGCACCAATTTGCTCGTTTGGGGGAGGGGGGGACTCTTGCCTGTAGGCAAATGAGGAGAAAACCGATGCCAGCCCATGCAGAGGGGAGGGTGCAAAGTTCCGTCTACCACACGAGGGTTTAGGTGGACAGTGGGAAACCCTGCACTTGTCCCCGGAGTGATTGGTTCCTGTGAGTAGCCCCTAATCGCCGTGGCGAGCCTGGGTGGTAACGCTCTCTAAGCGCTAAACTGCACTTAGTCCAGGAGCGACCCCCGGCTGCTCCACTAGGACGCTGTACCTGGAGCCCCGGGGTGGGGGCCACTTCAACGAGGAGTGAGACTAGGAAGAACCCTTTGCTGCTGTCCCCGCCAGGGAATGAAAAGAGGGTGTCCAGATTCCTGTGGGAAGAAAGACGCATCCCCCAGGGCGAGGCCAGTAATACGCGCCCGTTGTCATAATCGTTTGCACCGTCCTCCTTGGACACAGCTTCTCAGCATCAGCTACAACGTACACGCCTCTCGGGCCGAGGGTGCGGCGAGCGGGCGGGCTGCCTGCTCTTCGGGTGACAGATGCATATAGAAAAGCAAAGCCCGTGGTAACCTTAGGCCCTTAGCACCCAGTGAGGCTGCCAGCCAGAGATGGCTCTGAATTGAGCTGCGTACGGCAGGGCGCATGTGTAACTCACACCCCCGCTGGGGGTGGGTCACTGCCCCGTGCAGGGGCATTGAGAACAGGGGGTCTGCTACAGCCGTAGCAGGGAGGCAGCTGGCTTTCAGCTCAGGCTGTTAGGATGCCTGCACCGAGCTCCAGGGGTCCCAAGGTTGGTTCCACCTGCCAGTCTTGCACACATTTGCATGTGTTCTCTAAGCCGCCCTGCAGCAGTGAGTGGCTTGTCCCATTCCCACGTACGTTTGTGCCATGCTGGTGTGAGCCACACACCTAGGCTACATCTACACTGCAGGCTTTTTGCACAAGAACAGCTGGTCTTGCTCAACAACTTGCAGAGCGCCTACACTGCACGTGTGTTCTTGCGCAAGTAAATTTACAGCACAGTGTCGGAAAACAGGGCTTCTTCCAGAAGCGGTATTCCTCTCCCCAGGAGGAACAAGCCCCCTTGTGCAAGAGCGCTTCCACAAGAGGCCAGTGGAGACAGACAACATGAATTTCCTGCGCAAGAAGCCCCTATGGCTAAAATGGCCATCAGAGCTTTCTTGCTCAAGAGAGCATCCACACTGCCATGGACGCTCTTGCACAAAAGCACATGGCAGTGTGGACACACTCTTGTGGAAGACCTTTTGCACGAGAACTCAAGCACAAAACAGTTCTTGCACAAGAAGCCTGCAGTGTAGACGCAGCCCTAGTGTGGTTCACTGTCCCATGCAGTGGCACCTAGACCACAGCAATAGATAAGACCAACAGCACGGGTTGGGAGCCAGCTGGCTTTTAGCTCACAGGGCAGAGGCTCCTATACTAAGCTCCAGAGGTCCCAGGTTCAAATCTGCCTGGCGGTGGTTGCACTGGTACACTGTGAGCATAAACGAATCCGTCCCAGCCTCCCTCTCTCCCCACCAAGGTCGTGTGTTGTCCCAGATTTATGATGGAACGGCTGAAACCAGCGGTGAAAACTCCCAGCCGCGTGGCCCTCTGGCACATGCGCCAAAGGCCGGCCCTTCTCTAAGGCAAACAGGAGCCACTCACCCGATGCTCAGGGGCCTCCAGTCGCAGCCCAGGTGGAGAGAGAGGAAGAAAGAGAGACGATGTTAAAACCGCGACCTAGTGCTGGTGAACGGCGTGACCTGGGTTCTCGGGAGTAGACAGTGCGGGGAGGGGGGGTCATCACAAAACCCAGCCAACCAGTGATCCCTAACAGGGGCTGCAGAGACCATGGGGTGTCCCGCACCCAGTCCCAGGTGGGAGCTCTGGGCTGGCATTTACTGTCTGGCTGGATTCAGCTGTTTGCAGCGCCCATCCCCAGCCTGGGGCCGGTCAGTGTCGCCACGGCCAGAGCGCTGCAGTCGGTAGCTGACTGGTCCCCTGGGGAGGTTTGCCCCCGACAGGAGGCTGCCTGGCTTGGTGAAAGTGGCTGACACGCGGACAGGTTCACGCTAGTCACACGTCACGAGCATTCACGTGTCCTGCTCTGGGCGTGCCCTGGGGCGGCCCACACACCCAGGTGGGGGGAGCCTGTCCGCTAAGCATGGTGGGGGCTGGCAGCTGCCGCTGAGCTTGGAGCCCAACCTACCCCCGGGGGTCTCTCTTCTTCCAGTTGGCCAGAACGCAGTCGGCGTAGACGAGGATGGGCGGCAGGCCAAGGCGCGCCGAGACGGCGCAGAAAGGCACCGCGAGCACTCTGGGCAGGATCTAGGTTAAACAAGAGCGTTACGGTACCGGGCTGCTGTGCCGGGCAGGTTCCTCTCCCCCGGCCCGTTTGAGCCAGCGGGTCGGCTCCCCCCCCA